AAATGAAGGGTACTGATTTTATAAAAACTTCAAGTGATCAATCACTGTGTTCATCCTGGGTATAAAAGCAAAGAGATCTGAAGGGAGATAGGCACCGTGGTGGGGGGGAGTACAGGAAGGCAGGGGATGGGAAGTCTCTGAACTTGAACTTCACTCATTATGGAATGTGAACATTAGAGACCTGGCTGGGTAGGAAGCTGTCATCAGAAAATGAGGAACTTGGAACCTCTGCAGCCAAATGTTTTCCACTGATGAAAATGCCTGCATATCCCTAGAAGCAGTGTTTCTCAACCTTCCTAATGCCGCGACCCTTTAATACAGTTCCTCATGTTGTGGTGGCCCCCAACCATAAAATTATTTTCGTTGCTACTTCATAACTGTAATTTTGCTATTGTTATGAATCGTACTGTAAATATCTGATATGCAGGATGTATTTTCATTGTTACAAATTGAACATAATTAAAGCATAGTGATGAATCACAAAAACAATATGTAATTATATATGTGTTTTCCGATGGTCTTAGGCAACCCCTGTGAAAGGGTCGTTCGACCCCCCAAAGGGGTCGCGACCCACAGGTTGAGAACCGCTGCCTAGAAGCAAGAGCAGTACATTACTAAGCTTAATTAAAAACATACTTTGTGATGCTTACAGCCCTAAAGTTTCACTAGCTGTAAACTAAATAAATAAACCATTAAAGTAGGAATCCCTGACAGAGTTCGCAGTAAGCACATTGCGATGTTGAAATTCCTTTTTAGATTTTGGTCGGTGACAGCCCACATTTAGGCACAGGCTTCCTCCTTACGTAGCCATCCGTTTACCTTCCCTCTGCTCCCGAGGCTCCAGGCTTATTTTATTGCAGTAGCTTCGTACCCAGCACTTCCTCTAGGTTGTACCAAAATGGTTTACAGTGCCTTCTTTTTTGTAGCCGACCTTTCTAATGTGCGCGCATCCTCGAGGTCGAAGATCAGCAGAATCAGGACATGGCCTGTTCCCTTTAGTTCTCTCCTTGTTCTCCGAGCGCAGATTCCTATCAAGTTTCTCGCAGCCTGTTTCCAGGGCAGGCGCAGAACCTAGAAATAGAATGGATTAGTGGTGAGCTGGAGCCAGCGGTGTGATTGTTAGGAATTTTGTAGGACAGTTATTAAACATAGCCGTTATTAAACATTAAAGCACATACATTTACAGGTAAACGAATTATTATGAAACACAAAGGGAGTAAATACGAAAGACATGCTAGCTACTTGACCTTGTGCACGTGCACTATATGGTCAAAATACTGCACTTCAGGCTGTCCTGCATCCCTTCCCTACGCCGTTTCCAGTTGTGTTAGGCTGGCAGCTCCAAACCAGCCAACTCCATAAATCAAGGCCTTTCCTCCCTGAAGAGCCTGTTGTTAAACATGTTTACCCTTTGGTCCACGGGCCGACGCTCCAACCACTGACCCAAACCGGCCAGTAATGGGGTTTGTTCTTTTCCTACCTCCTTAAGGTGTAATGTTAGGTTTTTATTTGTGTATTTTTCTGGTTTCTTGAAGTAGGCCTGTATTGCTATATATTTCCTCGTAGTACTGCTTTTGCTGCATCCCAGGAATTATAATGTCGTATTTTCATTTTCATTTGGCTCTATGTATCTTTTGAGGTTTTTTTTTTTACACTTCTTCATTGACCCAGTAGTTGTTCTGTAGCATGTTGTTTAATCTCTACATACTTGTGATTTTTTTCAGCTTCCTTCCTATAGTTGATTTCTAGATTGATACCATTTTGATCACACTGAATGCTTGTTATGATTTTAGTCTTCTTAAATTTATTAGACTTGTCTTCTGTCCCAACATATGATCTGTCCTTGAGAATGTCCCATGTGCACTTGAGAAGAATGTGCATTCTGTTGTTTTGGATGGAATATCTAATACATCTACTAAGTCCAGCTGCTCTGTGTCACTTAAGGCCAGTGTTTCCATGTGGATTCTATGTGGGTGATCTACCCATTAACAGTTTCTCCCTTTAGGTCTATTAATAATTGCTTTATATATTTTCATGCTCCAAAGTTGCATGCGTATATGTATATGTATATGTATATGTATATGTATATGTATATGTATATGTATATGTATATGTATTTGTTGTTGTGTTTTGTTAATCCTCACCCAAGGAGATTTTTAAAAAATATTTTTTTATTGATTTCAGAAAGGAAGGGAGAGGGAGAGAGAGATAGAAACATCAGTGATGAGAGAGAATCATTGATTGGCTGCCTCTGTATGCCCCACACTGGGGATCAAGCTCACAACCCAGGCATGTTCCCTGAATGGGAATCAACTGTGACCTTCTGGTTCACAGGCTGATGCTCAGCCACTGAGCCACGCCAACTGGGCTCCATTGATTTTTAGAGAGAGTGGAAGGGAGGGGAGGAGAGAGAGAGAGAGAGAGAGAGAGAGAGAGAGAGAGAGAGAGAGAGAGAGAACCCTTCGGTCTGTGGGCTGACGGTCTAACCACTGAGCCAAACTGGCTAGAGCAGGTGCTTATATATTAATAAATGTTATATGTTCTTGATAGATTGTCTCCTTTATCATTATAATGTGTCCATATTTGTCTCTTTTACCTTTTTTTTTGTCATGAAATCTGCTTTGATATAAAAATGACTGCATCTTCTTTACTCTGGATGCCATTTGCTTGGAGCATCATCTTTCACCCATTGACATTGAGCTTATGTTTGCTTTTGTAGCTGAGAAGGTTCTGCTGAAGGCAGCGTGCAGTTGGGTCCTGTTTTTTGTTGTTGCTGTTATTGTGTGTGTTTTTTTTTAATCCATTCTGCTACTCTATGTCTTTTGATTGGTGGTTTTCCTTTGTAGGTTACTGTCTTTTCCCCCTTGGCTGCCTTGAATTTAGAAACTAGGCTAGCTGCTTTCACACAGTTATCTAATATTATCCCCATTTTTACAAATGTAGAAACTGAGACAGAGGATAAGAAATTTGCTCCAGATCACAGCGCCGTAGCAAATGCGCGAGCTAAGTTTGGAGCCTGGTCTTTTCTCCAGAGCAGATTGCAGAAATGTTTACAAATGGAAATGAATTAGACTTTTATGGAAATATTTGATAGTGAGGACACTTTAATATGCACTTGCAAAAGGTGGTATTATGTGCCATGAATATGTGCCTAAGGGAGGAGCTGGAGCCCTCTAGGTCTTCTCGCATCCGACACACTGGGAGAACAGTGGATAACAGTTGGCGGGTGGCGGGTGGCGGGTGGCGGGTGGAGAGGTTGGGGGGGGGGGCAGGGATTTACTGTGTGTAGTTTCCTTACACTGTCCCCTTTAATTCTTATAACAGCCTTTATGAACTTGGTGCTATTATTATGTTTAGATGAATAAACTGAAGCAGAGAGGCTTTGTTACAAACCCGATGGCGTAAGTGGCAGTCGGAGAGCTGACCCCAGGTGCTGTTACTCTCGAGGCTGTGCTGTTAACTGTTTATATCACATGCCCTCTCGTAATGACTGATTTGTGTAAGAGAGAACTCGAAGGATTTGTCACACTGATTCTTATCTCACGTCGATTCTTACCTGGCTCTAACCAGGCTTGTAAGAATTTCTGCTTGTTTAGTTAAATAGGAAGCTCAATAAAATGTCATATAGAATAAAACACATACTGAATCCCAAATTCAGATCTTTCAGACAAAACTGATCATTGTTAATAACCCCCTTTTAGCTCATGATAACTGGTTACATCCTTATAATTTTAAGAACAACCATAGAATATTGATCCAGAAATTGGAATGATAATGCAGCCAATGAGTGTGTGAGAATAATCCTACACAGATGGGAAGGCTGCAGCTCAGAGCGCTAGGATGAGTCATGGTCTTGGGAGACGGTCGCACGCTTCCCCAGAGTCTGTCAGCAGAGGGATGTGCAAAGTGATGTGATTTTCATGTTTTAGCCTTAACATCTGCTACATGGCAGCTCGATTTTATTCCTCTCGAGGGAAACATCTATAAACATGGGTAAAGATTGCCTTTTTACTCATGTCTCCAGGCTGCTTCGCTCTGTAGTCATTCTGTTGGCTGCACTGTACAGTCTCTCTGGGTGACTTGGTGCTCAGCACTTTCCCAGGATTTGAGCTTCTTAGGATTTGACCTCTGCCATGAGTAATTCTACCAGGTCAAAGTGATGTGTTTCTCAAAGCCAGATTCTGTCACCCCTGTGGAGATTGGCTCTTTCCTCTCTCTTCCTTTCCCACTTATCCACACACCACTAGTTCTTCAAGGACAGTTAAGAACCAGGATTTTAAATGAGCAGTTGTTTAACCAATTTATTTTCGTTTGGTCATTTTTTTTTCATGAAACGTGTGGAAGAATGAAAAAATTTGGAAGGTGGCTTAGTGTAGGTTTCCATAAAATCATAGGGAAGATAATAAATAGAAAAATTCATAGTAGAGATAGTAACACAACTAGATTGAAATGTCAGCAGAGTAAATTATTGAGAGGTAAAAATGATAACTACTACATGTATAGGTTAGTACAGCCGGGGGCAAACTATGGCCCACGGGCCGGATCCGGCCAGTTTGAAATGAATAAAACTAAAAAAAAAAAAAAAAGACCGTACCCTTTTATGTAATGATGTTTACTTTGAATTTATATTAGTTCACACAAACACTCCATCCATGCTTTTGTTCCGGCCCTCCGGTCCAGTTTAAGAACCCATTGTGGCCCTCGAGTCAAAAAGTTTGCCCACCCCTGGTTAGTATCAGACTCAATATTTTAATTGGTGTAAAAAAGTGTGGAAAATTAAAAGCTAAAACTTAAAAAGCGGACTTAGCTATTTGGACAATTAAAACACATAGCTCTATACTCATAGCAACAGATTGTTTCATTATTTGTTTGTGTGATTGGTAGCCTCTGTGATTTAGTCTTGGCATAATAGGGTCAGTTGGGAGGGACTGTGGAGTCATTCCGGGAATTGAATTGGCTCTGCTCTCTGGTTTAGAAAATCTCTCTGCTGCTTTTCTCAGGTGGGACTCTTCCCTGGACACTGTGTGGAGTTAATCAATCAGAAAGTCCCCCCGTCAGTGACCAACTCAGTGCCAAAACCAGGTGAGTGCACTCATCAGCGTGGTATTCTGCCAACTGCTTCAACATCCAGACTTCCTCTTCTAGTCAGGCACGTAGCTTGTTTTGCAGTACTTTGTATTTCTTGACATAATATGCATTCTTAGTTTTATGTGGCTTTGATTTTAAGTGATTTTTTTAAATTTATTTCTCTATTGGTCATTTTACCAAAGTTTACAAGCATTCAAAATTTTAGACAACTTTAAAGAACTCTTTGCTCCACTAAGCTTTGTCATTATTTGTTTTTACAATTATATAGTAGGAATATAGCTTCTTACTGAATGAAATGATAAAAGAAAATACTTTCAAAGAACTGACAGGAAAATAGAATGATTAGCTGAAACTTAATAGATGAAGGGGATTATGTATAGTTCATTGGTGCTTATGAGTTTCAAAACTATTTTAAACAACATATCTTACTTATATAAGCATATGTATAGCGCAGTATAAATATGTGGAATTTTTTACAAATAATTAAAGCAATGTTAAAGTTTTGGGTTTTTTGGGGTGAAATCTTGCCAAATCCTACAGAGTATCTAGTCTGGAACTTTTTAATGTAATAGTGTGGTCAGTACTCTGAAATTGTTACAATTTAACATCACAAATTTATTGTGATTTCTTGTACATTGTTTTACATAGTTTTGCTCTACAAGCTCAACTTTTATTAGGTATTAAGCCTCATCTTTGATCATTTTGCCTCAGAGACATAGTGTAAAGTGAGTTTTTAAAAATTAGTTTAATATTGGTATTAAACTGTATCAATCAAAGACTTTCTCGTGTTTTGAATGAGAAAGTGACATTTCCAATTGTGATAACTTCCAGAAGCTTTTAAAACGTGAGCAAGTTAACCAGTTATTGGTATTTCTGGGAAACGGGTTTCTATGAATAGACTTGCATGGCATTGTTAATTCTAAATCAGTAATGACGCAGAATGACAGCACCCCTTCAAAAGCTCCTGTCTTCTCTTCTGAGAGCGGCACCCCAGGGCTGTCCTGGGGAAATGTGCCTTCTTGATACATTTTGTAAAGGACAATGTGAGTTCTGCCAGCCTCAGGCTTGTTTCACACTTTAAAACGGTCTCTGCCTGCAGTTTATTTTTACCACCGCCATCTGTCCCTGCTGGATGCCAGATCTGAAAGATGGAGCTACAGTTTGATACTGAAATGCAAAGCTCCCTATATTCCGGCACAACAAGGGCGACAGGAAGCAATTTCCCTTTGGAGCTCTTCTTAACGTTCCCAAATGTTCAATTATTTGTGGACGTAAAAATAAAATTAATGGGTCGCCGTGTCCTGCTGGGAGTTTACTGAGCAGTGGGTCTACTTATTGATTTCTTCCTTCAAGTTCTTCATGTTCTCAACTATTATCTCTTCATTTATTTCTTTTGTGCAATTCTCTGTCTCCCTGTTCTTTTACACGTCAGTTGTCAGTTATGTCCTTTGATACTGACTCACACATCCTCTCTTTCAGGTTTGGGTACTTTCTAGTGACCTGTCTTAGAGTTCACTGACCCTTTCCTCTGTGTAGGCATCTCTCAAGGCACCTAATAAGTTCTTACATTCTCAGCTCACGTATTTCATTTCTAGGATCAACACTGGATCTTTTTTTATAGTCTCCAAAGATGAATTCTCCCATCTTCTGACATTATTTACCTTTTCCTCCGCAAAGAAAGAACGAGGAGTCGGGAGAGGGAAGGAGAGGGTGAGGAAGTGGGGAGAAAAGGTGAAGACAGAAGAAAAGCAAAGCTTACTCTTGAGGCATGAACTTCTAAAAATGAAGGACTAGGGAATTCAGACAAACCTTCCTTGAGAAGGGTTAGCAAATTTGGACCGAAATGAAATTCTCTCTTTGAGGCATTTGAGAATCAATAAGGCAGTAAGCAGGCACTGAGTAAGACTAAGCAGCAGGAAATCCGGTGGAGTGTGATGATGGAGACATTCTTCCCTCCTGTATCTGCTGGTAGAGTAGAGAGAGTCATTGCTGAGGGGGGTGGGGGGGAGAAATTGGAGCTCAGAGCCCAGGAGGGCAGAGTTGCTAATAATTCCCCAAGCTTTGAAGTTGGGATTTTTGTGGAAATTGAAAACTGATTCTAAAATGTAGATGGAAATGCAGAGCCGGAAATACTCCAGACCATTTGAAAGAACAAGAAAGTGGGACACTTACTATAATAGACACCAAGATTTATTGTGAAAACTTCACTAATTAAGATACTGGTATTGACATAAGGATTGACAGTTAGATCAGTGGAACAGAACAGAGTTCAGAAACCAGCCTGTGTACACAGATCCTGATTTATAATAGAAGCGGCGTTGGCCAGCGTTGTCAAAAGGCAATCATTTCAGTAAATGGTGTTAGGTCACCTGGGCAGATTTTATATCTGGTCCTTATTTAACCCCATACACAAAATGCTTTCCAGGAGAATTATACATCTGTATATGAAAGATAAAACTACTGAAAGAGAATGCAGTAGACTATCCTCATGCCATATTTTCATGATCTTAAGTTAGATATAATGGAAAAGCTTAGTAATTAAAATTAAAGTTCAGACCACTGTCATAATATGCTATGAAGATAGTGAGGAAGGCAAATCACGAAGTGGGAATACACTGGCAGTGCACGTATCTGAGAAAAGTCAGGCAACCAGGCTGTGGAAGGAAGCAAATAAGAGGAGGACAGATACACTGATTTTTTTTTAAATGAGTGAAAACTTGCACAAGTACTTCACGACAAATGTCCCAAATGCTCAATAAGCATGTGATAAGATGTTCAACATCGTTAATCTTTAGGGAAATGCAAGTTAAATCCTTATTGCCTCATATACACACACCCACCAGAATGGCTAACATTTAAGAGTAGCAACACCAGAGGTTGGTAAGGATATAAATCAGTGGGAATTCTCATACCCTGCTGGTGGGACAAACATTCTTTATACACTCTTAGGTCTATATAGAATGTTCCTAGCAGCCTTATTCCTAATTGTCAAAAAACGAGAAAAACTCAAAGGTATGTCCGTAGAGGGGTGGGTAAATAAAGGCATGCCCATTCAGTGGTCTTCTCCACACCAGGGGAACTGGAAGGGGATACGGCTCTATGGATGAGTCCCACAAACATAAACGCTGATGAGGAAGCCTGGTCTCCATGCATGATTACACCGTGAAATGCCATCAAGCAGAGAGAGTTCAAAGTCACGGAGTCTGAGCCCATTCTGTGGTGATGGAAGTTACACAGTCCTTCACGGGACCCACACAGTTCGCTAAATATGAGAGAGAAAAAACAAGTGACCTCTCCCGTGCCATCGGCAGCTATTCAGTGACAGAGCAGAGTGCCTTTCAGTCCGCCATATATTTTAGCTTCTCATTTTGAACTAATGGGAGTCTCAGAGGAAGTCTCCAAAGCAGCCCAGAGGTCCCATATACTCAACTTCTCCCAGTTGTCACACTCACACAACTACGTATATAGGACAGTATCAAAACCAGGAAGTTGGCATTGTTCAATCCTGGTGAGCTAGACTAAAGACGGTGCTCCAATGTCGCCAGCTTTGCACAACCATTTTTCTTACCACGCATTTCTAGGTGGCAGAGAGAGTGCAGCCTTTTGGGGTTCAAGTTCAAGTTACTGTTATGAAGTAGTTCTGCAGACCATTGTGGAGTTGATTTATCCCACCCTGTGTTTGTATGTTGGGTTATATGAGGGGATGATGAGTTGTGCTAAGTGTTCCCAGGACAGCTTTTCTACAGCATGGATTTCCCCTCCTCCTCCTTCTTTCTGCCTTTTCTTCAGCTTTCTCTTTTCTTCCCCCTTCCCCTGCCCCACCCCCTCCCTTGCAGTCTCTAGTATTGACCAAGAAAAGGGTGGGAGGAGGGATGCTTTTCATTTAAATTTTCACAAAAGAAGGGGGGCTTTGAGTTCTCCGCTCTGAATAAACATAAGCGCCTCATTTCGTATACACAGCAAAATGGGAACCTCCACAGCCTTTGCATTGGTCAGAATTAACATGTTTTTTTGTTCCTGCCGCATAGTAGAGTTCTCTGTGGCCTTTCATATTTTAAAATCACATCAATTCACTGTTTTTTCTCCCCATTGTGCCCTACCATTTATAGACAGTTTTGTATTCAGAGCTGTATTCAGAGAGGAAGGAAGGAGGGAGTTTGATCTGTAGCGGAAGACGTTGGCAGGGTCCTGAGAAGGACCCTAAAGATCTTGAATCAGGCAGCTCCGACCTGTGAGGCCTGGCAGTGGCTGGATCCTTCTGTCTTGGCTTCCTCCCCTCTGGTTTGGGATGTTGGAATCGGCTTCCTAGGGTTGTAATGAAGACTGTTTGTCAAGTGCGTGGATCGTGCCTGGCACCGTGCAACGCTACTGTGTTTATCAGAAACAAGTTCCTCAATGTGGATTTGCAGGGGTGTTAGTAAAAAGTCATTTGGAACAGAAAATACGTAAACCTCTTCCAATTAATTTATTTCTTCAAGTAATTCTAATAGGGTTAACAGTGCCTCGTATAAATATTGACTCTCTTAAGTATTTACATAAGTCGAGTTACACTTTTAACATTTGGTCAGTGTGTAAAGGAGGAGGCCATACGCAGGAAAATTTGTTTCTAGATTTTCAATTCTGAAAAAAACACACACCAAAACTATTATATTTTACCCTGAGATGCTCAAGAGAGTGCTGTCTGTCAGGATTTTTCACACAGGGGCAGTATGCATGGACACTTTTTAAAACATGCTATTAGAACAACCACCGCAGCTTATCACCAGCAAAGATATTAAAGGGCATGTGTTCTCAGCCTGTTGCTGCCAGTGTGAGGAGTCAGCCTTTTACTGGCAATACTTCCTGCACGATCTGATCCATGGCTTCTCTCATTTATTGGGGCCTTCAGTACCGTCACTTTCCCTGGATCCACTTCTCCCGACCGAACGGTGTAGCTTTGAAAAGAGTAAAAACACCACCGAACGTCAAGTTCTGCTGGGGGTTCTGAGCAGGAA